GTATGATATGTGTTTGGAAAATGGTATAAACTTCAAATAATCTACCAAATATTTTACTAAATGTCTCACATGAGTGTGAGACCCACACAAACTTATATGTGTGTGGGTTCCACACTTATGTGAGAGGTTTAGTAAGAAATTTGATAGATTATTTAAAATTTGATCGATTATTTAGGATTTGTAGCATAACTCTATGTATTTTATTATGAATTTTATACTACATGTATTTTTATAATAATTATTACGTATTTTTTTAATACAGTTATGACAAATTATAATTTAAAAATAAATTATTATATTCTTATGATAATGTTACGTATTTTTGAGGTTAAAGATACAAAAATATGTAATATTAGCCCAAAAGATGCAATTTTATTTTTTAATCTCAAATAATCGTAATTTTATCATAAGATCACGTAATATTACCATAAAAATATAGAATGTATATTAATGAAATTCTAAACAGGATTGGTTTAAAAACCAATAAATTATCCCAATGTGTCAAGATTTTAGAACAACAGTCAAAGAATTATGGGTGGTTTCATTAGCCTAGTCAAAAAAGCCCGATGGCCCACGGTCGCCAAGCCCATTGGATTTTATCCCCACACAGGCAGAAGATGGCCCAACCCAGCTCAGCCCTAAAGCTTGGGTTGAGTGGTAGGGCCCGTGAGCTAGCTTTCGATGGGCTTTTAAAGACCCAACCAAAAATTTGATCCATGATCCTATGCCAAAATGCATACTAAGTACTGGTTTGGCATATCTCAAAAAATCTAAAAATTAAAAAATTATTAAAAAAATTAAAAAATTATCACTATTTACCAAAAAATAATAAAAAAATTAATTTTACACAAAATTATTTCAAACAACTCTGATGTCCCACAGACACAGAGCTGACTTTTTTGAAAAAATTGCACAGGCGGAGTGCACAAACAACACGGTGTTGTTTGGCCCGTGGGGGCCCATCGCGGGTCCCGTTTTGATAATTTGAACTATTTTAATGTGTATAACTCGTCGAGTACTATATATTTGTAAGAAATCACGTGATCGGATATCGCTAACTACATGATCAAATAAGTCTTGTATAAAAAATGGATGGTGTTATAATTAACGATTGAAAAAAAAAACTAATCCAATTAGATAGCTATTGTACGGGGAGCAAATATTCTGGCAAGCCCGTATTCCTTTCTTCCGAGCTCCGTCGATGTCCGATCACCTGCGAGCAAGTAACGGTGAGCTACCCGGCGGTGTGTGGCCGGAAAAACCCTCCGACGGTCAAGTTAGCACACACCTTAGGATGGATAGAGAGAAGGGAGAGAGTGTTTGAGTGTAAGAATCTCTTACAGAGATGTTCGTGTCCTGCGTATGGGGGGCGCAGACATGCTTATATACCTTCTGAGTCCATATCCACTCCCAGTTATCTCCTAACGCGTGGCTCTGCTATCCTATCTGTCAGCATAAACCATGCCATTCATCACCTAACCTCAACTGCCTGTCATCACAGCTGGAGCTCGGCAGCCGAGCTGCCCTATCCGTTGTTGTGCCATGCCGTGCTCCATACCTAGCACTTCACTGGCCAAACTGAGGAGGACCGGGCTAGGCGGCATCTCGGCAAATCCTAGCCCGAGGTGCCTCCTGGGGTCGGCCTTTCTGCCGGTCAGACAACTTCCTCGGATGTCCGCGCCTTCCCGGGCCCGGTCAATGCAGAAGTCAGGTCACTATGCGGTCCATTCCTGTCAACACCCTTCATTAAAGGGACTAAAACTAGGTAATGGCCTTCTCAATAGCCAAAATTCAGTAAACTTATTTAAGTATAAACTTCCGTGTTACAAGCTAATTAATCTAAGGACCTACAGTAACAAATCATGCACCTTCATTTTCTTTTCCATTATCTGAGGAACTTCAAAAGCTTTGAAACTCAAATGCAAGGTTTCCCCACATTAACCTAAAGTCAATGCTTAAAATAAAGCATTGGAATGGCATGATTTGCACTCACCATGATAACACAGTCTGGAAAAATAATTGGCTGCCTTGGATCTCAGGGTTCACCTTTAATAGAGAAGGTAGAACATTAAGTGGATGAAAGAGCTAAATAATGAACCTCTACTCTTAAAGCTTGTATTTTGAATGTAGAGGGAACTATAAAGAGCAAAGTGAGACTTATACAGTTCCTAAAGCGCATATAAGTGACTTTGGGCTTGTAATTTTCTTTAGAAGCCATCTTATGAATACGAATTTGAAAGGACTTCGACATACAAAGCCAATCTATGGGGAAAGTAAATACCTACTTGCAATCTTTGGTACCTATCTGAAAGAGAACAATTTACACTGGTATATACATTTACCGTAAAACTGATATTGGTGTTCACTATCCTTTTCACTCAAAAGCTGTAGATAATAATTTTAATAATTGAGAGAGAGAGAGAGAGAGAGAGAGAGAGAGAGGAGGTATGACACCTAACACAAAAAATGACTTACAATGAGAATACTTGTTGTGGATGCAATCAGAAGGGCAACAGTGGCGATAATCAGATTTCCTGCATCAGGCTTCGCCTGTATATTGGGGGATGTCAATAACTTAATATACTTCACTAACACGGCTCCACTTTCAAGGGCAGTCAGAATTGATTTTTCACTTACCAGTTGAAATATTCTACAAAATCCAACATTTGCTGCCTGAATTTATCCAACAAGGTTAACTTATTAGCAAAACAGTGAGGACAGAGCAAAATGAAAATGCAGAAAGTAACAACACAAAAAGCCATCACCTGTATTGCATCTCCATGCTCAAGGTCCGATGGAGGACCATCAGCCGAGCCATCGTCATTTGCCTTCCTCCGTGCCTACAAAAGAATTCAGGCACATTTGCCATCTCATAACCCAATTGAAAATCAACTCAATACTCTTCTCCAATTCAAAAATAATCATATTCCGATTAATCTATAGGAATAAAAAAAGAAGTGAAAAGAAACATACATTTCAAGAGTTGGAAACCAAACAAAAAAGCTGTTTTTGAATCGTAGATTTGAGGAGAGAAAAAAAGGGGAAGGGAAATGTGAATGAAATATAAAATAAATTTTTTTCACATTTCCCTTCTCTTTTCTTTTCACTCCACAAATCCCTTCTCAAACATAAGATCCAAACACAACCAAAACTTAAAATTAAACTAGGAATTAAACTACTACACTCAGTATTATAGCCATGGAGGATTCAAGAATTGGTAAAAGGGGAATTCCTGCTTTTCATGATCTCAGGATCAGAACAGAACAATTCCAACTATTTTTGTAAAAGGAGGAAGGAAAGTTAGGAAATTCATGTTGCTCACCAGACACTGTAAAATTCCGAGATCTTGACTAGGGGTTTTATCAGAAAATGGGAAATTCAAACAGAGCAAATTGAAACGACTCATATACATAACTAGGAATGCAATCATATTTCAAACAGTCCAATTTACAAGCACCATATATGCATGAATTTCCACATACCCATAAAACCCAATAGGTCAAGAATAAACTCAAAGCAAAATAAACCCATATTACAAAGATGAATTTCTAACAAAACAAAGGAAGAAAACAAAGTTTTTATTATGAGATTTACCTCTTTACTCAACAGAGAAACTCTCTCACTGCCAGAGGACATAATGGATTTCGAAGTCCAATCCAAGTGCTGCTTTTTACCCATAACGAATTGTAACACAGAGACGAAAAATTGATGTTGGGAAGTCTACGGATATATAATCGATACAATAATATATCTTCAGTTCTGACTTGTGAGAGAGAGAGACTTGTGAATATTTTTTCTGCGGGAATGCGATGAGAAAGTCTTTGTCAATGATGGTGGTGCTGATGATCGACGAACAATAAACAAAGATTGGAAACAAAGCTAACTGTACGGGAAAAACTCAAGCGAAAGACAACTTTTCAAGGAGAGAAGTGGCAATCATCTTTTTGAGGAGTCCTTCCCTTTGCACAAATAGGGTCTCGCACTCACACTCTCTCCGTCTCTCTCTAGCTCTCTCTCTCTCTCGGTTACGATATTTGCTTATTTCTTTCTTTCAAAATAATAGTCTCTTTTAAAAAATTTAATTTTTTTTAAATTATCTTTTGATATTTTATTTTTTAAAAAATATTAATTATCATAATTATATTAAATTTAAATAAAAGGTAAAATAAAAAATTTATAATATTTGAATTCTTAATTTTTGAAAAGGTGTTAATATTTTCAGATAATAAAAAAATATAATAAGATACTAATATTTTGGGATGAAATAAATTTTTTTAACTGATTAATTAGTTTAATCATTGGGTTTTGAGGGAATTTTATTATTTGGTTTGATTGCAGTATTGGGGGAGTTGTTATTTGGTTATACATTATTTTAAGTTCATTAATCGAATTTTTTTATATTATTTTCTTATACCTTTTGAATATAATTACCATTAATGATAAAATTCCAAGATTATAAAACAATAAAAAAGTAAATTACATTCATTTAACTGAGATTTGAAAAAAATACAGTTAATATCATATTTTTTACATAATTATACTAACTTTCCTATAATTTTTAATTTATACAATACTTAAATCTTTTCTTATTAGTAATTTGTGGATCATATGGATAAAAAAAAATGAAATTGTTACATCTTTTTATACTAAAATGTATATTTATCTTTATTTATTTCAATATCTTTATCATCTGTATAAATTTTAGTCGTTTTAAACTTCATTAAAAAAAAAGTTGGTATAATTATAACAAACTTGCAAGATTGGTTATATTTTTCACAAACTCGTGGGAAAAAGGCATTGAAGGGGTGGGGAGTGGTGGTCTGAGAAAAGGGGCACTTTGGAAAAAAGTTTAAAAAGTCAGTTTTTTTATTTTTTAATTTTTTTAACTCAAAAAAAACTAGCTTTTTTAATCAAAGAAGCCAACTTTTTTGCTAAAAAAGTCATTAAAAAAGTCAAAAAATTAAAAAGTTAACTTTTTACTAATTTCCTAAAACACCACATAGAGAAGCGGATGCTAGTTGTAGATGATAGAAGTATGTGAGTTAAAGTTTTAGATAAATTTTTTATTTTATATTTTTTTTAAATGTCATTTTGCGATCATGGTAGGTGCACTAAAAAAATAAGGGGAAATGCCAGAAAAATTTAAAAAAAAAAAAATAATTTTGAATTTTAAAGTGAGTGACCTTAAAATTGTGTGTATGCAAATTTTTTATTAGTTAATTATCATTAAAATATCTGTCTATCCTCTCAACTTCAAAATCGTACTTTTAAACTTTCAATGATAAAAAAATGATAAATTGCCCCTTTTGGTGAATCGAAAATGATGCGATTTAATAATTGAAAATGTTCAATTTGATAATTGAGAAGTTCAGTAATATTTAATGATAATTAGAGAAGCATATGTGTAATTAACCTTTCATTTTCCTTTGTCTTTTTCATTGGAATACACACTCTTTTGCCTTTCAATGAAACAAAAAGTAATGAAAAGCATTATTATAAGTAAATGATTAAGAGTATTTGTTTGTCGACGATGCTCCAGTCTCGAATTGTCAAGCCCGAATGCCTCTATACCTCTAGCATACGTAGCCCAGAACTCTGTGAGTAACAATTGTGTAAAGATATGTTCAACTGATTATCTTTTGAATACTGAACTGAACTGTTTACTGAACTGGTATTACTGAGTGAATGTATGTCCTTTATTTCTGAACTGTACTGTGGCATCCTTAGTATCTACTGTTTACTGTTACTGTTACTGTTACAGAGATCTCTGTCGGTTCCCTCGTGGAACGACTACTGTTTACTGACTGATGGCCATCATTACTGTTCGGTCTTTTAAGACCTACTGTTACTGATATTCTAATGGATGTACCACATATGACTGTTTACTGTACTGAGCAACTGAATTACTGATTGAAATGAACTGTTTTCATACTGTAAGGACATTCATTCTAAACCCCTTTACGCTTTATGTTATTCACTGGGCTTTAGCTCACTGCTCATATATATATGTAGGTGTACAGGCACCAGACCGCAGCTAGAGGCGTCAGGGTTACTCCAGTTTTGTCAAGCCAGCCTTTGTGCCTCACCGCGAGGTTCCGAGCCTAACGTGTTAGGGCTTAGGGGTGTTTTACAATTCCCCCTTCTGTACTGTTTCACTGTTTTGTATAGACGGAATGTTTTCTGTACTGTTTTGTAGGGTTGAGTCCCTAGTCTGAATGATTGTAAATACTGTGCATACTGTTATGTACTGTTTATGTATAAATGTATGAAAAATCTTTTTGGCATGCAGACTGTCACAGCTCATTAGACATCATTTAATTACTGTATTGGCTTCCGCCAGGCCCTGTACTCTGTTTTACTGTATTACTGTTCTGCAGGCCTTCGGTAATCTCGTATTACTGGCCGGTTACGGTGCTAAACCCATAGGGCCGGGTTTGGGTCGTGACAACAGTATACTGATGCATTTCCCTTTTTATGTACTTTTTCAGCCTCCTTTCCAGATTCCTATAGCAGGAGGTGCTCCAGCTGGACCTTCCGTCCCGCCTCGAGGGAGAGATGAGGAGGGCCGAGTATTCCCCCGCTCCAAGGCGGGGCGTACTCATGTCCCGAGGGAGAGATGAGGAGGGCCGAGTATTCCCCCGCTCCAAGGCGAGGCGCACTCATGTCGGGAGCAGCTCGCGAACTCCAGTCCCGGATGATGATGACGACGAGGAGTCAGAGGCGGAGGCAGAGGCAGAGTCCGAGTCATCGGAGGAGGAGACCGGAGACGGTTCTAGCTCGGGCTCTGACGACGATGCTGATAATGCTCTTGGACCCTCGTCCAGGAAGAGGACCAGGATAGACTGACGGCCCTTGGAGTGCTTGACACAGATTTTTGTTGTTTTTCTTTTCTTTCTTGTACTTTTCCTCTTTTCTTTGGTAGTTAGATTACCTTGTACTACCGCAGGCAGATTTTGTTTTCTTCAAAACTTTGTACTTGAAAAAAGATTATGAAATGAATAGATTTTTGCTTAAAAAGTGTTACATTTACATATCTCATGTATTGCATCGCATTCCATCATGTTACACCTCAATGTAAATGAAATTGATTGGTTATCTGAAAATTGAACACTTGCACTTGTAATAATCAGATAACTAAACAGCCAACAGCAAAATAACCCAAGCAACCCACTGCCTGATTCTTGGACACACAGCCCTTACTCTATTGGGGATTAATCTGCATACAGCCCATAACACAGCATTCGGTTCATTCTGCACATAGCACACCCCGAACAAACAGCCCAATCTGTCAAGACGGAGCTCAAAGATGGGACCGGTTGGAGTCGAAACACGTTCAAATGTAGAGAATGACACAGCATTCCGAGTGTAAATGATTTTTGAAATCGAATGAGGGTTTTTCAAACCGGGATATCGAGCCTACAACTGAACACAGCGGGGAGGACTCAAACAAAGAGGTACACGACCTCCAGTAGCATCCTGCTAAACCTAAGAAGCTACGTACCTCTGTTACATTCGTAGGGCTTTGCCAATTCACAATGGCTTCTATCTTGTGTAGGTCAACAGAAACACCCTCCTTATTAATTACATGCCCCAAGAACACTACTTCATGTAACGAAGATTCACATTTCTTCAATTTCGCATATAATTTCTTATCTCTAAGTGTTTGAAGAATTAATCACAAATGGTTCTTGTGAGCTCCAGTGCTGTTCAAATAAATGAGTATGTCATCAATAAATACAACTACAAATTCATCCAAGTACGGCTTAAAAACACAGTTCATTAAATCCATGAAGGCCGCCGGCGCATTAGTAACCCTGAATACCATAACCAAAAATTCATAATGCCCGTACCTGGTTCGAAAAGTAGTCTTCTCAATGTCTTCAGTTCTTACCTTTAATTAATGATACCCAGATCTCAAATCTATCTTTGAAAAGACTGGTGCCCCTTACAGCTGATCAAATAAATTGTTGATTCTAGGCAAGGGATACTTATTCTTTATAGTTACTTTATTAAGCTCCTGATAGTTAACACATAACCAGAGTGTCTCATCCTTCTTCTTTACAAAAAGAACTGGTGCGCCCCAAGGCGAAGTACTCGGTCGAAGGAACCCCTTATCAAGCAGTTCTTGCAACTGTGCCTTCAATTCTTTCATTTCAGCTGGTGACATTCTATACGGAGTTTTTGAAATTAGTTGAGTCCTCGGCACTATATTAATTACAAATTCAATTTCACGGTTCACCAATTCTCCTGGCAACTCCTTTGGGAAAACATCCGGAAATTCACGGACAATTGGAATATTATCAACACATATATCTGTTGGTTGTCCATTCAAAATACTACACAAATACCCCTGACAACCCTTTTGCAATAACTTACACGCTTTCAAGGCTGAGATTAAGTAAGGTGGAAGAATTACCCCTTATCCGATAAAACTAAATTCAAATTGTCCTGGAGGTCGAAAAACAACTTGCTTGGACATACAATTAATAGTCACATGGTATTTACTTAGCCAATCCATTCCCAAAATTATATCAAAATAATCCATATCAAGAGGCATCAAGTTAGCATATAATTGAACATCCCCAATCAAGATCTCATATGTAGGATAAATAGAAGCACATAACTTGGAGCCCCCTGATGGTGAAGACACACATAACACATAATGCAATGATTCCATAGGTTTATTCAAATTACTAGCAAATGTTTTCGACACAAACGAATGAGTGGAACCCAAATCAAATAACACATGAGCAGGGTGACCATTGATAAAGAATGTACCTGATACCACAACCTCCGTATTCTGCACATCACCAGGAATAAGGGAAAAAAATCTCTTTCTTGTCTGACATTATCTCTAATACTGGTAGGTTTTGCAACAGTTTTTGTTGTTGGAGCTGAAGTTGAGCCGGCTAAACTTGTAGTGGTTCTATTCACATTCTGTCATTCTCTCTAAGGACAATCCCTCACTATGTGACCTGTCTTTCCACACTTAAAGCAAGCCTCCGTTACCCAATAACAAATCTCGCGGTGT